ACCACTACTTCCTCCCAGGGATGTTGTGAGGCTACATTTCTTGCTGTTTGTAGCTAGGGCTGAGCTATTACGGTGATGGGGGCCATCTAAGTCCCTAGATTGATAAAAGTCTAGTTAAGATACTACTTATCTCATTAGATGTGAACATTTTAATGACCATTCAGTACTCAAACATTCTCACTAGCAGTCGTGTTTATTGGACTTTGGATGGAGACCATGAAGGCAGCAGTAATAACACCCTGGATCCAACTAAGGTGCTGCAGGAAACCTGGCAGTGGCCATACCTGGAGCAGGTCACAGTGTGACCTTTGCTGTGATTGACATTCTCATCCATCACCCACAACCCTGCAGAGGAGGAAAAGAGGCAACTAACATCTGCTTCAGTAAATTAACTGGACTCCACTGTCTAGTGTGACTGGGAGACTTAAGGGAGAGTGGAGCATCTTTGGGAGCAAGGTTTATACTTAGAAACTCATACATATGTTCACATCAAAATATATACACACACAAAAATAGGGATTTTAAATCCGGCTTTACAAACAGTTCCAAAGAGCTGTACAATCAATTAATTGATGACACATTTTTGAAAAGAGAAAACCAGAACTCACGAGAGAAGCAAAACAATGCTTGGAGGTCTCAAATCAGAGCCCATTTCTCTGCTCTTATCTTTATTTTTGACACGATCCTTTATACACAATCACAGAAGTCAGAGATAGAAAAGATCTACTAGATCATCCAGTCCATCCCACTCAAAAGTCAGGATTATATTTCATTTATTTATTTATCTTATTTAGGTTTATACAAATGCCAAAAAGGGCAACTATCAGTATATTCTAGGTGCCCTTGACATAACTTAACAGTACAACAAAATTAATACCCAAACATAACTAAAGCTCAGCCATACAATTTAACTCACTGCCAGCAACCCAAGATAACAGAAAAGCCCCAAACCCCTGACCACCCCCTGACACAGACACTTTTCACATACACGGGGAAAGAAGATGAGCTGTGCTGTGTGCTCTGAAGGTCATCAAACTCAATCTTTTTTTTTTGGACCAAGGAGAGAGTGAATTCCTAAGCTATGGGGCCCTCCCAGAGGCACTATGCCAGCAACTTGCTCTTGTCCATATCAGCAGGGATTCAACTTGAGCACCTCTGCGGTTCGGCAAAGGGAGAAATGTGAGGTTTTACAGGTCAAACGAAACACCTTAAGTGTCACCCACAAACCAAGAAGCAACCAGTGCAAATCACAGAACTTGTTGAATATACTCGTTGAAGACACTCCATTAACAAATTCTGCATATGAAGCCTTGTTCTTTATTACTGTGTATAATTGATGAAGAGATGGCTAAAGATTTTCAGCATCCAAAATTAGTCTATTTTTAACTTTTTTATGTTATTGGTGGTGGTGGGATTTCTCCCTCCCCCTCCAGCCCATTTTTCAGTAAACAAATTTCAATAACCATCTGAAAAATGTTTTTAAAGTTTTTGATAAAAATTCAGAAAAAAATCCAAAAAAGCCACCACGTTTTTCATAAACACAAACTTGTTTGGCACCATCGACAATTTTTTGCAAACAAAAAACTGTGTTAGGAAAAAAAGGCACTTGTCAACAATAACAACAAACCTCTAGTTTGAAAAATATTAACCAGTTCTGCTCAAAATGTAGGATTAGGGCACTGACGGCAAGAAGCGCTCAACAAATGGCATTTGCCCATGAATATATGCTATTATAGTGAGGGATGATTATATTTTTTTCTTGTGAATAATGCCTTTGGCTTGAAATTATTAATTATTATCTGTATTTCCATAGTGCCTAGGAGCCCTGGTTATGGACCAGGGCCCCATTGTGCTTGGCACTGTACAAACACAAAGAACACAAAGACTGTCCTGCCTCAAAGAGTTTATAATTTTGGGGCTGCACTGCACTACACTACAAAGTTAGATGCATCCGAAGAAGTGGGCTGTAGTCCACGAAAGCTTATGCTCTAATAAATTTGTTAGTCTCTAAGGTGCCACAAGTCCTCCTGTTCTTCTTTTTGCGGATACAGACTAACACGGCTGCTACTCTGAAACCAAAAGTTAGTTCAGCTTCACAACATCATTCTGGGCTGTGAAAAATGTCACACCCTGTGCAACATAATTAAGACAACCAAAGCCCCGGTGCAGACACTGCTAGATCGCTGGGAGAATTCTTCTGTAGAACTAACTACTGCTTCTCAGAGGTGGATTTATTACAGCAACAGAAGAACCCCTTCCATCTCCGTAGTAAGCCGTCTGCACTTCAGCAGCAGAGCTGCCACTGTAGCATTTCTAGTGTAGACATCGCCTGAGTAAGCTCCTTCCTTCCATCTTTAACCCAAATCCTGCTATTACTCAATATGCCCGACCACCAGGCTAATGTGCATCTTCACTTGCATATGTAGGCTCTACTTGCAGCATCCCACTGATTTGGGCAAGAGAAGAAGAAAGCAGTTTCTTGGCCAGGTTGCTGGCATCATTCTGATGTTTCTTAGAGAGGGAGAGAGATGAAAAGCTCAAGTCACATAGCTATTTCCTACTGGATTGACTTTGACATTTGAGTGCATATGACCGCTTTGTGCTGCCCTATATCTTATCAGGCACTTATGCCTCTGTGATTAGCAGGAGCCACTTGCTACCCAGGTTGTAGACTGTCTTATCTTGGAAGTGGCACTGTGTAGAGACGGGGTAGGATGGGAGGCGTGGGGAATGGAAAAGGGTGAATGAGGGTTCCCCAGCAGCCAAACAGTGAGGCGTTTCCCAGTATGTCTGTGTGGGGGCTAAGAGTCAGAAGGGGTGCAGGAAAGTGCTCCTTAGGAAGGGAGTTTGGGGCATTGCACAGGGGGTGCTCAAGGGTTCCCAATGGGGGGTTGCTGGGTGACTCAAGAGTGGAGGGGAGTGATTTTTTCCCTAGGAGTTCTGGGGATAAGTTGGGGCAGGAGGGTTCCCAATGGGGCAATGCTGGATGAGTCAGAGAAGAGGGTGCAAGACAGAGGGACATTTTCCAGAGGTGCTGGGGGGTAAGATGGTTCCCACTGTGGGGGGAGGTGGGGCATTGCCTAGGCGTGCTGGGGGGAGGTGGGTCATTTCCTAGGAGTGATAGGAGAGGTAGGAGGGTTCTCAATATGGGGGAAGTGGATCATTGCCCCAGAGTCTGGGGAAAGGGTTCCCAGGCGGGTCTGGGGGGGGGGGGACATTGGGCATTGCCCTGGGGTGTGGGGGAAGGGATCCTGGAGGGGGTTGGGGGTGAAATTGCCCCGGGGTGAGGCGGGACGTTTTCTGGAGAGACATTGCGCCAGGGTGCGGGAGGGTTGGAGGGGGGGGGCGGGCTGGGGGGACATTGCCCGGAGGTGCAGCGGGAGGGCTCCCCGGAAGGACATTGCCCAGGGGCGCTGGGGGGAGCATTGCCGGGGGGGCAGTGGGAAGGTTGAGGGAGGTGTCGGGGGGCATTGCCCCAGGGTGCGGTGGGAGGATTCCCCGGAAAGACATTGCCCCGGGAGGGTTCCCTCTCTGAGAGTCGGGGGGGCATTGCTCCAGGATGCGGCAGGAGGATGGGGGGGGGGGAGAGGAGG